GCACCTATATGCATCTGCACACAGCTGCTCATCAGATACTGACATATATGGAGAACAGAGTGATGGCATGTGCTTAAACCAACAGTCTGAGCAAGTAAAATATATGGGTCCACTCCCCTCTTGCATCAACCACAAGTGTTTCATATATTTCAATGTAATAGGAAATAACTTCTTTTAATTCTGCTTTGGCAAAGAACTCAATTATTATGATAAAGATGGTTTCCTATTAACACAATAACACACCAAGCAGGGACACAACAAAGAGAGCTTAAAGGAAAAAGCCACACCCATATAGTCTTACACTGCAATAAATCCACAGTTTGTTGTAATCAGTACATTCCTGGACTTAATTTGCGGTGATGTTATGAAATCTGACTTATTGCTTTCTTTTGTCTGTTCCTACTCTATTACTTATTTGGTCCTCACAGAGAAAGTGTCTGATCTAATAGCAGAGATAGCATTTGCAATTACAGTCCTGCACAGAAGTCACAGCCTTGTGCCATCAACAGTGTCTCAGCAATCAGCTCTAATAAAATAGTGCATTTTTTTGTCAAATCACTTCAGATATTATGAAGCCACTGGGGTCAGCATCAGGTTTTTGCATTACTGGAATGAAAGTGCTTGTCCAGAAAAGAAATCCATCCCCATATTAGACCCAGACTACATACGCATACCTGAGTGTCAGCGTGAACTTCCTCTAACAATTATTCCATTGATCAGAGCCACCTCTCATGACTGTTCACCTCAGCTGGGCACCGTGGTTCAAATGTCAAAGCTCTGAGCTCATAGTCCATATCCTGCGCTCTTCGGCAAAGCACAAAAGCGACCTCTGTGTGAACATCTATTACCCACATACCGCAGGATGATACCTACATACCACCTACGTAACACCTACACCGAAGTACACACATCACCTCAGTGACACAAAGGCGTTTTTTTTTTAGAAAGCTGCAACTTCAAATTTCAACATTTCACCAGGTGACCACAGAGAGGATCTAAGCAGCATGAAATGAGTCAGTTGTTTTAGTTTTCCAAAACTTCCAGGCCACAAAAAAACACACAAAATATGTGTGAGCTTGATGCACGGCAGCAGAAAAGAAGTCACATCATTTTTTCATTAGCTATGCCCGTAAAAATAATACGCACAGTCATTCTGCACAGAAGAGAGGGGTTTGTATGATGAAGTCAATACCGCAACAAACTCCAAAATTATATTTAAGCCAGTCAACAGTAGACATGTGTGTTGTTTTAAAGTTACAGTAAGCACATAGAGAATAAAAAATACTCCACATCGGAAGATCTTAGCCTGCAAAGAGAAGTTTGCATTATATTCTTTCCTTCAATTTTAATTTCCATTAGAAACAAAAAGATTTTTAGGAGTGAAAAGAAGGAATTGGCCTCAATCACATTTGAAGTCAACCGCAGCAAAGCCAAACGGTAAGTAATAACTTCTGTTGAAAACAGCTGCATCCACTGCAGAGCAGACAGGAGTCTGAATGCGGCACCGCATCGCTCTGTTCTGCTGTCCACTCTTCTCGTCTGCCATGCAAACAGAAGCTGCTTCAGTCACAAAAGTACACAGAAGTCTGGATCGCGTGTGCAAACGGGCCTCCCAAGAGGAAATAATTCAAGGAGAGAGCCAAGAAAGCTGATCAGTCTTAACAGTCCTAACATAGAGAATAAAAAGTTGTTGTTTTTTTAAAGTAAAAGAAATGAGTGACTTACTTCTAAGAGGGTTTTATTTTCATTTCAAACCATTTGTTCACTGATGGTTTTAGATTATTCCAGTGAGACGCAGGCGGCTGGATGTAACCCTCCAAACCTTGCTCTCTGTTGCTCGCTCACTCTCTGTCCGTCAGTTGCCTTCACCAGGACTCACTGGGCTGATGTAAGACACCCCTGGAAAGAGGGAGAGAAGAGAAACAGAGTAAGAGAGAGAGAGAGCGAGAGAGGGAGGGAGGGAGGCAGGAAAAAAATCACATTCTGTGGATTCCTGGGAGTTTGCCAACGTCCCAGAATTCCACATGCCACACATAAGGTTTCAATTAAAGACACACACAAAAAATCCAAAGCTCAATCAAAAAGCTTTCTTCCTCCTGAAAGGAACCTTTCTTTTGACAGCTACAGGACGAAGCATAGAAGCAGCCATAACTGAAGGGAGTATTTGCAGTGGTGTCGCTGTCACTTGCTTTATGTCAAATTCATATAACTTATTGTTTCATCACTAACCTTAAAAACAAGCTTATTTAGGTTTAAAAACTGCAAAAGAAGCGACTCTTTTATTGAACTCAGTGGCACTAACACAGCAGTTTGTCACAACCTCAATAGTCAAACCAGATCCATGAAAAGTGTGAGTCAGGTGTCAGAGAGAGGTCTTCTTCTTATTACGTTGTACTCTGTGTGTTTTGCTGCTGATGTGGTCTGAACTCTATGACCTGATCTCTATAAAAACAATGAAGTTTTCATCTGTTAGACATGGTGACTAAGAGCTTTTCTTACTTAGTTACATGCAAAGCTGCTTGCTTTGCTGATGAGGAAGCCATATTGACCTGCAGCGAAGTGACACCAATGGCCAGTGGAAATTTATTGGAACCCTAGGATTTTACTTTTTACTTGCTTGGAGATGTTTTTTCTGCTGTTTTTGCAAGTGTTTTACCACAGCTCCCACTGTCCTACTCTGTATTCCCCAGTTTAATATTCTGTTTAGGCATTTGTCAAGTCTCTTAAAGCTTTCCAGTTCTTTCCGATGGCCTGCTGGGGCAACGACTGTAGTTACAAAGAGATTTCCAGTTGTGTAAAGGTGTATCTGATATCCCTGTGTTAGTGTTGTTTCTGAATCATCATAATTCATTTTGACCTAGGTTCAGTATCACAAGTGACCAATCACAGTGTTATGGTGTCATAGTTTTGCGATGTGGAAAAAAAAACGTTGCCCAAGTCCACTCAGGAAAACATCCAAGAAAAGGAGGGGTTTGGGTTGAGGGCTAACATGTGATCTTGATTAGGGTTACGGGGCTATAGCTAGGATATCGTTGCAGTGTTAAACCTGGACAAACATTAGCTTTGATGATCCAGGAACAACACCAACATGGGGATATCAGATGGTGCATTGGAAAACAGCCCTCATTAAACACCTCACTCATGAGTTTATGTACTCAGTCTCTTATTTTAAGTCATTAGGAAGAGAACATTAAATTCTTTTGTAAATTATTGTAAGTATTGGAGTCAGTTATTAGAGGATAAAGGAGGCTTTGGTCTTTGGCTCATGACTTTTACAGTCTGATATGCCAGCAAATAGGCCTTCGACAAGTTAACCCTAAAACGTTCTGTTTAAGTCACTTCTTTTTCTTCTTTCAGCTACTTCCTTTAGGGGTCCCCACAGGAGATCATCTGCCCCCATTTCACACTATCACTAACACTCTCCTGCCACACCAACACTCTGCATCTCCTCCTTCATTACATCATGAACACACTCTGTCTTCCATTTGCCAGGCAGCTCCAACTTCAACATCCTTTGTTCAGTATATCCACTATCCGTCCTCTGCACATGTCCAAACCATCTCAGTCTTGCCTCCAAACCGCTCAACCTGAGCTGTCCCTCTACTTCTAATCTTGTCCATCCTGGTCACTCCTAATGAAAGCTTTACATCAGGGGTGTCCAACTCCAGTCCTTGAGAGCTGCTGTCCAGCAGCTTTTAGATGCATCCCTACTCCAACACAGCTGAATCAGATGGTTGGGTTACCTCTTCAGCATGCCATGAAGTTTGGCAAAGGCTTTGTAACAAGCCATTCATTTAATTCAGATGTGTCGGAAAAAGGAACAAATCTTCGGCTCCTCACCTCCAGCTCTGCCTTGCATCTTTTTATCCGTTTTAAATATAAATATTAAATAAATAATTTTTTAAGTATTATTTATTTTTGTTTCATTTTAATAGCCATTAATGGTTCATTCATGATTTTTTAAAACTACTAAGTTTGACTGTGAATACTAATATTCATAGTTAAAATGTGATTTTTTTGAGCAAACTTTGAAGACTTGTAAATACTAGCATCATGAGCATGTTGTGCCCAGTAACAACGTCACATATCTGTTATCTGCTGAATATGGACTCTCAGTAGAACAGGTAAAGTGTATGAAATATGTTAAAGAATTAATGTACTGATTAAAATGCCATTAAAGAGTTTTTCAGCTTAGCTACAGGTCAGGCTGTCTTTCCATAGACGTTATAAGAGACCTTCTTTAGTCTTAACAGCGCCGTTATGGAGCGGGAGAGAAAGAAAGTGAGTCAGAAAGGAGCCACAAAGAAAAATGCCCTGAATAGCTGCAGCAGCGTTGCGTCCTCGGAGCCATCTTGAACATAAACCATCTGCTGGAAATGGTGATTCACAACACCAAAGAGCTATAATGCAAAAAACACACCTCGCAGACACCGGCGAGCAAACATATGACAAAAAAAAGACACGTTAACACCATTTGAATAATTAAACAGACACAAAGACATTGCTTTCCAAGTAGGAAAATGTATTTAATAAAGATGAGCCATAGCGTCTCTTAAAGCTGAATAACATCCAGTCTTCACTGATTACAAGCAGAGAAGAAGCAATTATTATAAATACCCCCCACATCCTGACCATGTACCGTATCTGATTGTAGGAAACATCTGTGTGATCATTTCGTCTGAATCAGCTGTTGCATAAAAAAATCACCAGGTAAAACAAGTAGATGGCCATTTCCACCAATAGATAATCTATCAGTACATATAAAAATAAGTCTCATAAGCAAAATAAATAGATGCATCTGCAGACAGCTTCAACCTGTCAGTATGACAGAATTTTCATACTTCAATTCTTGCTGTGTTCAAGTCTTCAAGGAAAAAAAAGAAGAAGAAGAAGAAGAAAAGCAAAACGAGTTACAAAGCAAAGGAAAGCCTGGTGCTAAAAAGTAAACTTCATGTTGTTCATTCATTCATTTTGGACAGGACAGCCTCTTTCAAGAAAAAATGTGTGTGATATTTGTTATTGCACAGCGATGACATCACAGTTTCTCTTCCCATACAATGAGAGATAAAGGGAAGTTGGGCCGTTTCCTTCCCCGCATTCTCCCGTTCAGTCATTACACCCCATTCTTCACCAGCTGGTGGACTCCCTCCTTATCGATCGTCAGAGTTGGTTGAAACTCTTTTCCCTTCACCAGCTCCTCAAGACCCTTGAAGTACAGACACCATCAGGACAATGTTAGTATTTTACTGAGTATTCATGGATAAGAATAACATCTGGAGTTTTATTTAGTACAACGTGTTCTTACCTCTCCCCCGTACGACACCAGTGGGGAGATCTCGCATTTGATCGGCAGGTCCGTTCCATCCTTCAGGCTGCGGTGGAAAGACAAATTCAGAGAGGATCACAGGAGAAAAACAGAAAGCGAATGAGTGACGGTCTCGTGGAAGAAGAGAAGCAATTGTAGCTGAAAAGACAGCTGCTAGGACTCCTTGACACAGCTGTTCTTCTACTGCGGCTTGTGATTAGAGGACAAAGAGAATCAGCGCTTCATCGCAACAAGTGATTAGTCCTTTGACTTGTGATAGAAGTCCGCTAGAAGAAAACAGACGAATGAAAGGAACGTTGTGCGAGACTGCCGTCACTCAACGTGTTAATTTCTAGATGATGATTACAGAGAGAAAAAATCACTAATCAGACATCAGGTGTTTCAGGTGTTTTGCTGAGCAGCTGCCTGATGGAAAAGCTGAATGACTGAGAAAGAAGCACGCCCTTTAAGAGTGTTGGAAACATTCGTGGTGCCGAAAGAGTTTGTGAAGCACATGCTCATTTAATTCTGTCTGGAAAAACAAGCAGGAGGATTTAAACTTAAAGGCAAAATAGCAAGCGATGAAGCTGACCACATAACTATTTGGTACAGAAACCAACAGGTGTGTGCTCATCTGCAGTGTAGTAACTGTCTCCCTTTACCCAGCATGCAATATATCACAGGTTGACATGATAGTAGATCATTTAACCAAGGTGCGGAAGAAGACCATGTTTTCAGGTGATTTCACTGATCCTCGATGTCATTTCCTGCATCCCGACTGACCGTAAAAAGACTGAAAGAAGGCCGCCGACTGGCAGGGCCTCTACAGACTCTTTTCCTCTCAGTGGAAATGAAGGAAAGGGATGTCAAGGATCAGAAGTAATATTACACGGTGTTAACACGTCTGAGCGAGAGGGTAAGAAAGCCAAAACCCCATCACCATGCACTCAGTACTGCAGAGGGATAATTACTTTCTCTTGCCATCATCTGTGACACTGCCTGCTGCTCCGTCTCTGGAAACATTGCACGGGACACACAGGAGCAAGACCAAGCATGAGAGAAGGGGGAGTGAGAGTGTGAAGCTAAAAGAATACGATGTCTACAAAACAAACAAAAAGTCCAGCGCATACAGTCTGTACACAAACAAAAAGGTCAGTGCATACAGTTTGTCCACCGTGTGGAAAGTGTCGAGGAGATGGGAATAACCACAAAGATCTCATTATTATGTATGTTTTTTGTAAAGTGACATGACATGCTGTGGTCACCTGGGTATGGCGGGCACACGTCTGCCGTTCTCGTCAATGAAATGTCCCCCAGCGTTGAGCACCCAGCGGTGGTGGAGGGACATCAGGGCGTGTCGGGCTGTGGTGGGTGTGTCCTTTCCGTCCTGAGTGTCTGCGTTCTTCAGCGGGGAGAACTCGTCCTCTCGGAGCACCTCATACACAACAAACGTCCTGTTACAAACACAGAGCATCCCATCAGCACACAGGCAAACCGAAGACTTGCATCACAACCGAGCAGCTGCCAGGGATTGAAAAATTAGCAGGTTAATTAGTTACTCAACAGGAAATTAAACCGCAACATATAAAAACAAAAATGTCATTTTTCTTTCTATGCTTGGAGTGGTTTCACTGTGCTTTCAGATTGTGCGTGACTTCCATGGAGCGATTTAAAAATAGTAGCCACACTAAAGATAGTCCAGAGGAACACATAAAAATGCTTCTGCAGAGGACTGAAATCAGCTAAGTTTTGTTTATTTTTATGGACCAAATGGCTCTAAGACAGGTCATAAGACAACAGAGCAGGCCACATTAAAAACTGAAGACTTGAGTCAAATCCATGTCCTCAGCAGCATCAAAAATAGATTTTTCTTTACTTTAAAAATACATCTTCAAAAACTTTGAAGTAAGCTTGATATGGTGTCCTTGATTTTCCATCAGTTAACTGTTACAGGAATACTTTCATTAAATATAAAGTTCTATTAGTAGTGACGTGACTCAGAGCTGATGTCATGTAACACTAAAGGATGTGGAACCGCTCATAAACTTCCATCCCCCTGTGGAGAATTTGGCAAGCTTAGTCTGCTGGACCAGACCTTGCAGAAATGGCACGACTGGAGGGCAGAAATTAGGGCTGGAAAAAAAAAGACAGTCCTTGCACGGAAGAAAAAAATCAAGGACCAGTAGAACCAGGGCCCCAAATATATGCAAACTGGTCACCTCTCAAAAGGAGGTGGGGTTAGTATAAGGCAAGATTTAGCTAACTGGTACTGGCATGCACACGCACATTCATATTTTCTATGCCATATATGAAAAAAATGCACCGTCACTCACTTGGCAAACTGGAAAATGTCAAAGACAAACTTTTCCATTTTGATGCCGTTTGGTTTCTCTGGTTTGATTAGTTGACCCTGAGCATCCACATATGGGATCTTCTTCTGGGCCACGTGGTGCTGCAGCTGGGGCTCGTATTTCCTAATGTGAAAACGGGGAAAAAATGTCTCATTACGATGATGTAAAGCTGAAAGAATCTGAAACGTAATGATAACTGTGTTTATAGCTTTGCCTTACTGCACTATGTCTCTGAGGAAGGAGAAGCTGAAGAAATGATTGGCCACGTTTGCTGCGTTGAACATCAGACGACCATCGGCGCTCCGCTTCTCAGCAGTTGCCAGGCTGATCTCGCTGTACTCCACCACCTGGTAATGACCATCCACCTTGCAGACAACGCCTACTGCTTCTGTCGGGTTTGTTTTCTCCACCACCTGGGAAACAATGTCACAAAATGACCTTACTAAAAACCTCAGATTACTACAAAGTCAACTTAAAGTGGACTGTGCTTTTCCTTTTTACTGTCACATATGTAACTGTTACTGCTGGATGCTCACATCAAAAATAAGCAAAGATTCAAATCAAAAGTTCAGCACATGTCCAAGTAATTGCTGTAACTCCAAAGCTCAGGCTTCAGACTGCTCTGAATGCTCAGCTTCAGTCAATTTTTTCTACTCTTGGTTTTGTTTGATATTGATAAAAGCAGATATCCCAAACATAATATGGTCACCTCAGACACACACAATTGTTCTGTTCAAATATTTTGTCCACAAGAGACAGCCAATCATACATTTTTGGTTTAAAGCGAGCAGGAAGGGAACTAAAAAAGCTTGTTTCAGACAGAGGATGAACCGATCAACTGTATCAAAAAAAGTTATGATATTTAAAAAAGGATTATTTTAACATGAATCATGCAAAGCTACTCTAGTTAAGTCAAAGAATAAAAATAAGCAACTGTAAAATGCTAATAACTCTCTACTTTAACTATTTATACAATAAAATCCCCAGATCGGTACACTTTAATTGTGCTAAATTTAGTTTTCCATATAAAAACTACAAAATATTTTCACTGTTGTCTCTTTATGAGTCAAATTATCTATAAATTATTTACAGTCAGAAATAGTCTAAAACTGAAATAAAATAGTAAATAAAAGTGCTATGAAGCAATTGGTGCACTCCATTTTACAACCAGTAAGTTACGAGTCTGCACTGAATGAAAAATCCTTCCCCCCTTCCTATCTGTCGGTTACTAATGACAGGGTCCTGAGGGGGGGATGGTAAACTGGTAGGGGTTTGGCAGGGGGGGTTGGTGAAGCCACATGAACTGTTAGCGGAGCTTAGTAATTTACGATGAGAGGGTGGTACCCCGCTCTGATCTGATTCTTCCATCGCTGCTCCACCCCACATCTCATAATTTCAAACAGAAGCAGGGTCTGGGTGATCTTATTACAATAATTAGTTCACTCTGCTCTATGTTAGCTGGAAAATATACATAGTGTTTCTACTTCTTAGAGGAAATCAAAAAGTAGCAGGATCCTTCAGGCACTTTTCAGCTATCCAACACACACTGAAGCACGTAATTTGTGCAAAAACAGTTAAAAAAGTGAAATCTTGACTTCAAACTTTGATGTATTTGAAGTAGTATGTGGTTTGTTTAGAAATTAATTAGTAAGATCTGCCAGCAAAGCTTAGTCACACATATATCAGTCATATTTTACTGTTAAAGCTAAAAACAGAGGTCTCCTGATGGTTACACTCTTTCTGGTGTACTGGACTCTTATCGCTTAGCTCGTCAGTAGGTGTTATTTTAGAAAAATGTCCCTCTAACTATCTCTGCACCAAGGTCAGCAGGATCTTCACAGAATGAATAATGGTGAAGAATAAATGTAAAACTTTTTATCTCGAACATAGCCTCCTCAGCAACAGATCTTGGCCAGTGAGTACTGAATTTTCACATCACCACAAACTAGATTCTGCTCAAATTCTTTTGCGAGTCTATACGTGAAAATATTATTTTATAAATCAGAACTCCTTTATGTCTTTAGTTCTGCAACATTAAGCTTCTTTGGGATTATCTTTTTATAGTAAATCACATTACTAATTAATTACTTACACTTGTGGCACAGTGGAACAGTGGTTATCACTAACACTTCACAGGACAAGAAGGCTCCAAAATATGTGGGAAAAGTGGCATTTTCATATCACACTATCAACTAAGACCATAATAGTAGGCAAAAGAAGATTCTGGGCTCATTCCTAAATTTCCTAGAAAGCTAAGTGTAGTGCAAAAGAAGATCGCAGAAGTGGATTACAACTCCACCCAGTGGTAAGTTGTGGAAGGTGCAGCTATCTGGAACCTGCCAATTTAAACTGACCCCACCTTTCGATATATGACATCCCACACTTGTCACCCTTCGGACCTTCTAGAACAGGGTTTTCAAACATAAGGTCCAAGGGCCAGAATCGGCCTGGCTAAGACTCCAATTAGACCCCTGGGCAGCTGTGAAGACGGGCATAAAGTTTGGACTTGGGATCATATTTTCACAAGTCTTCAGTTTTTCCTGCTGATGAAGACCTCCTCAGTGCCTGCTCACAGGGTAACACATGATTAAGTGACAGCAAATTTCCTCTGTTTCACTTTGTACTATATAGGTTTCTGTTTTTTACAGCAGGTCCACTGTATAAAAAAAGAGGTTTCTGTGAATTAACAGAAACTTTTTGTTTCATAAAAAAGAAAAGTCTACACAATGAGCTACCAAAACCTTTTTGGTAATTTTACACATTTGTTTCTTACAATTTAAGCCCACAGGGTCATGTGGGCAGATTTCTTTCATTTACTTTTTTTTTATCATGTATGAAACTGTCATACATGTACATGATAAATGGTTGCTCAAGAAGAACGAGACTAACTGCTCAGACTGGATAAAATACTACAAATATGACTCGACTATTGGCATACACATTACCTAACTCAAATACATGCTTTAGTATTTGCATGACTCATCTGTATGTGCCATTCCTATTTAATGACTTTTAATCTTTGTGTGCACGCCTCCTTGCAATCACTGATACTATAAGGTCTGATAAAGGTCAACTTTAGATTTATGAATTCAATTCAGTGTTACTTTTATAGTGCTTCGAGGTGACTTATCAGTGTTCAGGCAACTTTAGGAGGGGAATAAAATATGTTTACTGCTTCCTCGGTTCTTTATCTTTTGTTTTGTCGTGCCTTTTTATGTGGTCTGACTTGGGTACTGATTAACATAAATGCAAAAAGAAGTCAGTCGTTTTGGTTTTGGGGGGGTGAAGTCTCAAAAACTAAAAAAACTCTTGTATCAAATATGACTTACTCAGCTTCAAGGGGATAAGTACTACTCATGTCCAGTCTAGACCCAGGTCCACACATTCCCACAGAAAAAATATTAGTGTCACTCCCCAAATGATGGCATCAGCACCACACCACACCTTTGTTGAACCCAAAGTTTGGAATTACTGCCCTTGTCAGTAACTTTGGAAGGTGCTACCATAAGAAATTCACCAAAGATGGAGGCAGATGAGCTGCTGTGGCGACCCCTAGAGCGGGCAGCTGAAAGAAGAAGAAGAAAAAAGGAAAAAAATAGGTGGTATTACCAACCTTAGCTCCACAGTCCGCTCCCTTCTGCACACAGAAACCAACAAAGGCAGGGTCAGCCACTTTGACCAAAATGTTATCAACACAATAAACATGGATGGACTCAATCCCCCTCCTCTCCATGTCATCCAGGATACCCTGGTTCCCGAGAGCTCTGTAAAGACCCCCATTACCGTCTAGAACACAAACACAGACACATTTCTCACACACTGAGCAACACTGTGAATGAAGCATACATACACTTCTGTATATGTGTGGACGTACCCGGAGCCATGGAGGGCTTTCCTTTGCTCTCCAGGATGATCTTGCAGTTGTAGTCCATGGCCGGCAGCATGCCCTGCTGAAAGAAGACCACGCTGTTCTTGTCCAAACCAAAATAGTTATGTTTGGAGAAAAAATCCTTTGTGGATTTCATTGTCCTGCCGCTCGTCATGATGTACCTGAAGGCAACACGGAAAGAACGCAGCACTTATGCATTTTAAACAATTTAACAATCGTGCAGTGCTGCAGAAAACATCTCCATCATCTCTTACAAAAACCTAACAGCAAAGGTGATGTTAGCTTGAACCAACAGTATAATACTTAAGTTTATAGCAGACAATAAAAAGTAACAACTTGATGAAGATGTTTCTAACATATCCTTCAACTACGTTAAATCTGACACGCACAACTCTATTTCCTGCTTTTTTATCTCGATCATTCATATTTTAAAACTATAAACTGCTGGATCTCCCCTGCAGGGACTTAAAGCTTTTCCAGCAACACAGCTTCCTTGACTGAGTTTCCTTTGATTCACACAGTGACTTGACCCAGTTAATCATCATGCTAACATAATTGGGACAAACAGCTGAAATTCACTTTACAAATAGGATAGCACTATTTGGTTGCTCGAGCTTGTTTATTTTTCCTCAAATCAAGCTGTAGATTTAGTCGACTAAAACGCCTTAGTCATGGAAACCTCGTGTCTCACCAGGGGATACAGCACTTGGTTTTGTGCGACTGCTCAACCAGCTGTTGCAGCTTCAAGATGCGCTCAGCCTGGATCTGAAAGAGGGTTTTGTGGGACGGCAGCCCAATGTCGTACATGCCTTTGGGGTACGAGACCCCCAGCCTGGTTCCTTGGCCTCCTGCCAGCAGTAAGACTGCCACTTTATTCTTAGAGATGCACTGAAGACCTAAAGGGCAACACAGCACAACGGTCATAAATAGTAGCAGAAATGTGTCCTGTAGTTTATTTAAAACAGGGCCATGCATTTAGTGTTGTGCACTGATATGATGGCACACAATGCACAGTATCTAATCTCTGCAGACCTCTTATTGCCTGGTTAGTAGATGAATAATAATAAACTTAACAAAACAGTTCTGATAACATTAATCCAAACAGTTTAGCAACATTTTATGACTGGTTCTGGAGTACTTGTGGACGTGACACATTATATGAGCTAAAATCTTACAACCCCACTCAAGATTTTACTATGGTTCAATGTACCAATAGTTTATAATGGTTCCAGTTTGTCTTACATAAACTGCAGCAACGTGACACGATACGAAACTCTCTTCCTACTGGTTGGTGCCAGGAAGCAAGTTTTATGTAGTGGGTTAATCCATAAACTTTGACACATGCCCCACACCCAGCAACACAGATTTTGTCCCAACAGATCACAATGAGCTCATGATTGAGGGTCAAGAGGGAACTCCAGTTACGTCAAGTACAAATCAACACCAGATGTTTCTGCTGCCCACCGAGATAGTCATACAGCCCCGGGAAGAATGAAGCATGAGGGATTGCGCAAAACATAATGAATAATTCCAGCAACTTACTCAAATGTCAACCCTTGCACAGAAACGCACAATGGATAAACATGGAGCTTCTGACGCAGCATGACTGGAACTTTGTAATAAGCTTTTGCAAAAGTTTTGATCTAATGGGCTGTTTTTCTGTGAGCTAACATCTGGATGTGGATACTTAAAAATATTGCCATGAGAACAACTATTCATCCAGCTGGGTTACCCATGTGATGTTTTAATCCACTTAAGCTTCCCAGTCTGATACCAGTTAAGCTTTCCTCTCTTACCTGCAGGTCATCACTGTCAAGATTTCATTGTGTTAAACGTGCTTGCAGTAACTAGGCGAATCTTGTTTAACAAGTGATAATAGCTTACATATTCTCATTAAAATAAAATACTCCCAATTCTAATGCTTTATGTTTCCTTAAAACACTCAGCATACCGAGTAAGTACAGTTTAAAGGTCAAAAGCAGTAAATAGGTGAGAATATACTTCACCTGTCAGCTCCCAGTCTTTGACGCTCTCCCTGTCTCTCGTCACACTTCCCAGCACCTCCCTGGGCACGGGCTCCATGCGGCAGTCCATCTTCCCTTGTTTGCTGCTGTTAGATGTCTGCATGGCATTCTTGAAGAATCCGTTGATCTCCTGAAAGTCCATACCCTCCAGTTCTTGGGTCAACTCGGCCTGCTCTTCAGGGCTCAGCTCGTTCCAGAACTGCAGGAGGTGAGACTGGCCGGCGTCAGCCAGTTTCTGCCTGAGTGCGCTGATGTTTGGGTCCATGATCACCTGTGCTTTTAATTAACTGTGGGAAAAAAGATTATTTTATTTAAAAAGAACTGCAAAACATGCCCCAGGTCTTGTGTTGTTTTTGTATAAGCCGGTGGCCTTTATGTAAATATAAAAAAAAATAGATGATAAGATAAAGGTCACACTACAATATCCAAACATTTGCAGGGTTTATCCCACATATAGATATGGCCTTCTGCAAGGACCTTTTAAAAAATACTTGTAGCTTTTTTTTAACAGTGTGGTTTAATTTACTCACCTTTAAATAATTTTTTAAGTAAAATGGGTAAAAAAAATTACAGAAAATAATCTGTTATATAAGGTAACATAGACTCTTTCCTATAGTTTCATGTGGACCAATCATATTTCTTAGTACAGTCACCACTAAAAGCTCATTTTGAGCACCCAAGAAACTGTATGTGTATATAAAAACAAATTTTAGGAGTAAAAAAATAATTGATGACATAGCCAATGTCCTTAAAGTGACTGAAGATCTTCTGATGGAAGGTGGAAACATGATAAGAGTATTTAATAGCCCTGTGCTAGTTGTAGTGTAGGTAAAACAAGCACTGCTGGAATGTTTATCCTATTTGTTTAAATCCACACCCACTTTTACCAGGAAGTCGTCACAACACTATAGGATAAGGTCGAGGATAGCTTCATTTATACCACAGTGTGAATACTGACTCTTTCATACCCATTATGTTTGCTTATTATGATTGATAATTACAACAGTACAATAATAGCTGTGTAACAACGCGATATTATGATGTTTTCTAAGAGGGTTTACACCAAAGAAATCTCCTCTGTAAGTGAGCTTTTCAATGGGATGCTGACGACTAACACCACAGCCACACAACCTGAATTATCTACAGCTGTAATACACAATACTCATATATCACTTTTAGTTAAAGTGTTTATAAAACTTTTAAACTTCACATCTCCAACATGACTGTGACGGTGAGCCTGTAAAGAGGTAGCAGGGACTGCTGTGTTGACTCGGAGCAAAGATAAATCCAGTGTTAGCACAATGTAATAACACGGACTGTTGCTAAGAAGCGCATAGAGTTAGTGAACCTCATTTTCAGTCACTGTATAAGATAGTTAGCCGCGGTCTGCGCATCAGTCAAGCTACAGCCGGGCACATGTTAGCAAATATCCGCCCGACTGAGGAGCGGGAAACCGCTCAGGTTGCTGCACACACAGCAGATAGAAGTAAATCAAATATTTAACTCTTACCTCTCACAAAGACTCCTCTCCGGTGTAAGATCATTAATGCCAATCGATGACTATTCGCTCGCACTGGTCACTATTCGCCTCCCTCCCGGAATACACCTCCTGCTACGTCACATTTGACGTGGCAGGAGGTGTGCATGTGTAGTCAAGTCAGTGATGCGTTCAAGTGCCACCTGTAAATTTAATCACTCTATGCTAGGAGTGTGTGTGTCTGATTTTGTGCCAAAAACTGTTTTCTATCTGTGTAATATATTTGCTTATATGGTTAAATAGACTGCAGTCAATAGGATTTCTGAGAAGGTTATATATAAAGTAAAGACATAGCCTGTTTTGCAAGAATCTTTCTTGATTCTACCTATTTGATAATCACAGCAGTCTGTTCTGCCCACTTAAAATATCTTGAGATAACCATTTTCTGCCATTTGTGCTGCCCCCTTGGGCACATCTTTCTTAAAAATACATTTTTGACGTCAATTTCCCTTTTTACCAGGATAAATGAAGGATATATATACAAGTCCCCTTGCCAAAAACTGATCACAGCTTTTATTTTGTCTTGAAATCATGTTTGAGAAACATGTCTGAAATTTTCTTGTCAGATTGTATTGCAACAAGTCATGAACAGCTAATAGGTTGTTTTTTTTTGCACCACACCATCAAAGACTCTTATCACCTCTGGACAGCTTTGGAAAATGTGAAGGAAAAATGAACGACTAACTGTATTTTTGGAAATTCTATTTATACAAATTTTATGGCTTCGCCTACTGAGCCCAAAGAGATATTTTGACAGTTTCTTTGATTACTTTAATAAAGAGATGAAAATGCACTTCTTTTTCTGATATATCTGTATTTGCCGACATGCCGAATCATGCAAGCTTTATGTTATACTATTTGTCATCACTTTTTCGTATTTGTACTTGTTCTTAACAGTCTTTGATAGTCTAAAGCAGCTTTATGAATGTAATCAAAGGTAAATCATCAGACAGGTAGAGACAGAGCAGTCAGCTTCAATGAACCAGCTAACGTAAGAATAAGAATAAAAACACAAATTATTGTTTTTTATTTGTGTGTTTTAAACTCGTTTACTAATCTCTTTTAATTTGTTTTTCTTTTTGTTCTTTCATTACTGTTCACACTGATATTAGTCTAACATTGATACAGCTCATTATGTTTGCCATAGTAGTAACTGGTTTACAGTTTTACCTAATAAGTAAAAGATCACTGGTTCGAGCTCAGGAAGAGACACAAAACATTTTTTGCATTGCATTGGGCCAACCACTTTGTGAATTAGGGAACAGCTAAAATTAGCTTTTAGTAACTTAATGTGATGTGTTTCCAGAATGTGATAGCATAATATGTTTGTGTGTGTGTGTGTGTGTGTGTGTGAGCCAGTCAATACTCGGGTAATTTCAGCAAACATGTAAGTACATGTAATCAAACAAACAAACAAACAAACAAAAAGGTCAAATAATAAAAAATAAAGTTGTCTTATAAAACACGAACAACTGATCTGGTTGGACTTTCAGTTCTGAGTTCAACCACGAGGGGGCGACCGTCTCTCGTGATGAGGCGGAAGCAGTTTGTTCTCATTTGAAACAATTTTGTTGTGGTCCTCCTCTTCCTCGCTAAAACCAGGCTGGGTGCTGCCCATCTGTTTGTTTTTTCCTGGTAGTCAGATTTTTGTGCAGCTACAGAAAATGAAGAAGTTTTTCGATGACTTTAAGAAAGACATCAAATTTAAATCCGCGGGACCCGGGAAGAAACTAACGGAAGACACCAGGCAAATAATAAACTTTTCTTTTCTCAGCTGCTACAGCGCTAAGCAGAGCTAGCCGCACAGATAGCTATTTAACATTGGCTAAACTGGCTTATCTCATAGCTGACAGCTGATCAGTAATGACTACCGCTTTTCCGTCTCCCCATGTATTGAAGCTAACCACAACAGTGCTAATTTGTGTGTGTTTTTCTCACGGGTGTTTGTCAAACGGCTAACTGTTATATATTCTTGAGCACGGCGGGGGGCGACTGTATAATTTCAGGGTGACCTGACTAACAGCTAATCCCTGCACAAGCTTGTTTAGTTAAAGAACTAAGCAACCCTGCTTCTCATCAGGAAGCAGAGCTGTTGTGATTCTGACGTGTTTGTACTGTTGTCGTTGCTACTTAGCTTAGCACTGTCTTTTCTTCTTCCTACTGTGAAGCCACAACACGTCTCCTCTTATAGTCCTGTTTCTCTCCTAATAACCCTACAGTGCCAAGCCTGAGGTGGTGCAGGGCAGATCCAGTGTCAAGCACGATCGCCATGCCCCCAGTGAAGGAGCCCAGAGGGCTGGAGCTGCAGCCTTGGCCAGGATTGAACAGCATCAGAAGCCGAAGGTTCACACCTCCCAGGACGCCATTAGGACCCAGGGTGAGACATGCAGTCCTATTATTACACCAGGTGGTGTCTATCAAACACAGATGAACGTCAGCCTCCTCGTTTCAGTTGTGGGTATTAGGATAATTCAGTTGTGGGTATTAAAACATGTTTTGGACTGTGAAGCACTCTACGGATTATTATAGTTGATCTGTTTAAAAAAAACATATCTTGTCTGCTACTGTACACTATATCCAGTGTATGCAAGAAACAGCCACCAAAAACGTTTATTACCTCTGAAAAACCACATAATCATAGAAGTCACCCACCCATTCATTTTCTGCTGTTTAACTGAGGCCAGTTAGTGAGGGCTGCAGCCTAAGCAGAGAAGCCCAGACCTTTCTCCCCCCTCAGATATTTCAATTCCTCCACTTGAGGTAGCAACTCGTCCCTGAACCAAAAAAGTATTTATTTAAAAAAAAAAAATCATTGTTTTTGTATTCATGGGAAGATTTGCATCAAGTATATAATCTTTATGTTTATATTAAGATGCTGATCCTGTCAATGGGAAGTAGATATGATTAGATACTGTTTTAAACTGATAAAGCAAACGGCAAAGATTTTTATTTTGAGGTAACAGTTTTGGTTAAAAAAATTATTTATTAACTGTTAAAAAATATTCTGGTTATAACAGTTGTTTTCTACACGTGCTTGCAGTAAAAAGAGAACTTGAGGCCGAGGCAGCTGCACTTGCTGAAAAAGAAAAGGCAGCTGCAGCAGAGGTAAGTGTTGCATAAACCAGAATTGTGACACAATTTTCATGCTAATTTTGGTTCACATCGACTGTGGTTAACTTTTTAAAATATTTCATTTTTTTCTTTCACTTTGAAGAAGACAGTACTCCTGATAAGCTGTTTTCATGACTGATTAAAGTAAATATTCCTGTTTATACACAGCCTATCATACAGTGTCCAGTGTTGAAAAGGGCAGCATAGGTGCAGACAGCTGTTCATCTCAATGTCAGTTTCATAAAAGTAGGTGTCCTTCTCCAGCCAGACAGTGGGCTTTTGTTTTAATCTTCCCTTATTTACCTTAAATCTGTTCAGTACTAAAATTCTTTTATCACAATCCTAGTGGTTTTCTTTAGTTGAAAAGCCAGAACTTTCTTTTTTTATATGAAAAAAAAAAACCCTATATGCTTGTTGAAACCTGAATTATACATGTCCTTACTGGAAAATACGTCAGTGGTTGTGAGGCCTAATTCAGAATATCAGAAAAGGAGCCGCCTAGTTATGTGAGCTGTATTAAATTCAGAGTAATAGCGGTGGCCTGTTAGTGTGGATGAAAATTTCATCACTGAATCTAACAACACTGATTGACATTTTCCTCCCAGGGCTCCAAAGTGCCAGTGAAAGATCCCACCCTTCTCTCAGTATCAGGCGTCTATTTCATCTGTCCACTAACTGGAGCCACATTAACCAAGAGTGAGAGGGAAATACACATTAAAGAGGCCATTTTAATGGTATGTCTGAGGATGTTGGTTCAGTTATAACGTGTGTGCAGTCAGACTGAATGCTTATCTAATCGGTGCTTTTGATAAACATGCAATTTTTCCCTGCAGCGGTTTGAGGAAGATGCAGTCGAGGCGTCTGTTATGATGATGCACACATTTAACAAAGACAGAGAGAAAGTGAAGGCTGCTGTGGACATCATAAGCAAGTAAGACGCTGATGGTGATGTTAATTACATATGTAAATGTTTTATGCTGTTGTCACAGATTTTGATCTGTTCTAGACATCAAAGTTTTTTTGTTGTCATTGTTTTGTTTCCAGATATGTTGAAAATATATGCAAGAACCCCACAGAAGAGAAATACAGGAAAATTAAACTCAGCAACAAAGTGTTCCAGGTGTGTAACGTTCCTCACCTACTGGATCAAGACTAACTATTTGTAGCAAACTTTATGGGATTTCTATAAGAAAACAAGATAATTTTGCATGTCTTATAAGATTCCTTGTGTTATTTCAGGAGAAAGTAAAGTCTGTGGAGGGCAGCAGGGAGTTCCTGCAGGCTCTGGGCTTTACAAGTGTGATGCTTCCCATAGAGGGCCAAGGTAAATGAATAGTGATATTTATGAGCAGTATGTGTCTGCTCACCTGCCAGTGATTTTCATTTATGCATCATTCAGTCTTTACATCGTTTTAACGCATGCCCACCTTTCACGGAGATCAGAGGAGGAAGAGGAGTTCCTGGTTTTGCCAGAGCAGAGCCCCGATGCGCTGGAGCTGATGAAGGAGAGGAGGGATCGTCTTCAGAGAGGCGAGCCGGTCAGAGCGCAGCTGGACAGGCAGCCTCAAGCTTTCAGGCAGTCTCCTAACGCTCAACGCTTTGAGCTGCCGCCAGAGTTCTACAACCTGACGGCGGAGGAGCTCAAAAGGGAGCAACAGCAGAGGTATAGACTCACTTTCAAACCAAAAAAATGGATCTAATTCAAGTCAGCTATAAATTCTAGTTAGGTGGTAGAGAAATGTTGTCTCTCTTTTCTTTAATGAATTGTCTGTGCAGTCAGATCAGTTACTTGATTTCACTCGCTGTGGTAGCAGTTCCAGTGAAATGGAGTAAAGATCAATATTTGACTCATAGGATTTGCAATTTGTCTGTGACAGTGTGGTTAGAGAAACTTCATCCCTGTTTGAATTTATCCTACAAGACTGCTGTAAAAGAACCACAAGTAACAGTTTGCCCCTA